GGTTTGCTTGGGTTTCCGGCCAGGCGGCGTCACGCGATACATTCCCCCAAACATAAGTTTGGAACAGTTTTCCGGCAGTTGTACCGCGTTCTGGCTGGTGTAGTAACACCCCCACGCACATAGTCACACACACATGAGCACACACAGACCAGCTGAGGTGTGGAGCGGTGGCGGATATCTGCGAAGGGATGCGTGAGCGTGGTTGTGTAGACAGCGTAAGCAGAACAACAATGAGGGTGGTGAACAAAATTTGGGGTACCCACGATGGCGCGAAGTTATTCGCGGTTTGCGGTTCGGCTCCGCCTCTTCGTCCTCCTCGTCTCCAATGGGGGGCGGCGCGAGAGCGCAAAGTTGTTCGCCCTTCGCGCAGCACGAAGCGCGAATTTAGGTGCTTTTGCAAAACCTGCATGGAAGGATGATCTGTGAAAACCGCAGACATGGGGTGGGAATAGCCCGCATAGGCATGATGTCGACAACATGCGATTACCGGGCGAGCGCGTCGAAAGATTTGGGCAATGTTGCACAGAGCGAACGCGACTGCAGGTGGCAGAGTTGGTCGTCACTCGTTCACAGACGTGGAGCACAACGGATAACGAGACACAGGCATCGAGCGGGGCACGGCCACGACCGTCGAGAATTTGGCCTTTGGCGTTTATGGTGACATATAGAGCCCGTGCAGATACGATATCGGACATCACGCCCGAGTGCCAAGCTCGAGAGAGGAGATGACTCGTTGCAGCACGCTCTCGCGCAGCCTGTTTAGCCCTCCTCCAAGCCCGCCTGCGCCTCTTGTCTTTCTCCCCTTCATCCCACTTTCCTTCTTTCCTCCCTCGTTTCCTCCTCCTTCTCCTCCTCCTCCCTGGGATTCTTCCGAAGCGACAAGGTTGCACCCTACCCATCGGGCTGCTCCCATGTTTTAGGCGGCTATGGAGTCGGATCCTTCTGAGATATGTGAACGGATGGGAGCATGAAGTGGACGTCTCGGCCTGCTGGGGCCAGAACGCCACGTGCAGTGCAGACTAGGCGGCGTACGTGCACAAACTTCTCTGCACCCATGCCAGACGCGTGGGGATATCATCGCTCACGTTGTCCTTCGACTTAACCAAGTTCTACGAGAACATCAGCCATGAGGAGCTCCAGGTTGCTGCGGCCACTGGAGCTTCGATGGAAATCTCCTTCACGCGTTGTGTGTATTGTTCAGAGCTCCACGACCACGCTAGCCAGGCAGCACGAGCTCAGAGATCATGTCCGATGGAACGGTGGTGGCAGGCTGTTCGGCGGCGACTGGAATGGTCATAGTGATGCATCGTTTGCTCCTTCGATGTACTGCGATCGAGTCGTCGCCCACACGCTGTGTCAAGATCGTGGACGTCTTGACGGCCCACGTCGTTGCAGGGCCTGCGACGCTGCGAGGCGAACACGAAACACACCGACATGTCTGAGTTGGGCAAGAGACAGCTGCCAGTGAACGAACCTCAACTTTCTATGAGTTCTGACCCCTGGGCTGCTGGACGGCCTGGAGGGAGATACCAGTTGGACCCTCCCACGGGACAAGAGGGTCCTTTCACACCGATCACACATAGACCTCGGCGGAGATTCCAATTTTGGGCCCCGTCGGAGGGTAAGCAGTCATGCAGGCAGGATGTCTGCTGGTTTAGAGGTTAGTAAGAAGCTCGGGGACATGGGGCGTGGGCCCGCTTTCTCCTGTGTTTTCCAGTCGAGGCCCTTGACCAAAGTCTCTTGTGGTTGCCACATCAAGGGCATTGCGCCTTACCAGTTTCACCTGCTCAGGGTCAAAGCGGCGAAGTCTTGGGGCACTCTCCGTGCTGTCACTAGTCTGGGCTTCAGGTTGTTGTGCAACCCCCAGCTGTGTCAGAAGGACCCCATTGCAGGTCATCACGACTGCCAGTATTAAGGTAGTCGTGAGTTAAGTCTGGGTCCGCACAGTGTCTCAAGCTGTCCTTGCTTCCTGCGCTGCTGATGCCGAGGAGGTCCGCAATCACCCAAGACCCTGGACTATAGTTCAGCAGCCCCTCGCAGCATTGACGCTCATGCTTCAGAGAATTGGGTGGCAGGTAGATTTTAGCGGCAGGAGGGTCCTGGATGATTTGTGTCGTTTTTGGAATGTTGATCGATTCTCCTTGGCCTTTGTTGTGCAGCTGATCGGCCCCGCGGTTCGGCGAAGCACTGAAAAGCAAGAGCAGTCCAACCAGTCGGCCTTCTCTGTTTGGTCAGGACCTACTTTTAGCAGCCGTTGCACAAGCCTGGGAAGACACATCAGACGAAGTCCTGAACTGCCCATCGCGCTGCCTGCCTCAACGCCCTCGTCGCTAACGCTTTACTGGTCTCAGGCCCGGATGGCGCGACACAGTCACGAGCTGACCCCTACCTGTCGGGCTTGTGAGAATGGCATCGGTGGTCGCAGATTCGAGTGTCCTACCTTCGAGCCGTGGGGGCGTGAGAGGCTTGACCCCGCCCTCCGCAGGGCGGTGCTGAAGATTCAGATGCTGGGGGGTGACGCTGGCGAGTTGGTCTCTCGGTGTGTCTTCCCCGGCCCTTCGTAGTATTGGTTCCTGCGCCGTCTCCGTGAGGTAGAGAAGAAGTAGACCCGCTGCCATGATTGGCCACGCGGCGAGCCTCTGGCTATTCCAGCTGGCAGTGCGATTTTCTTTGACGGGGCAGGTTTTGAGCAATCGTTTGTGAACCTCCGCGTGGCATCGTGGGCTTTTATAACTGGCGACGACAACGGTGAGATTATCAGTTGGATCTCGGGGGTCGTTCCCCTTAGCGAGGCCCCTGAGCAGGTAGCATGAGACTGCGAAGACCATGCCATCCTCATGCTGTCCAGGTCAGCTATGGTTGCTGGCCCCTCCCAGGTTTGCATCGATTGTGCTGGCACTGCTGGTTGCTTGGTGGACCTTCCTATCACTGCCAGAGGGCCCAAGACTTCCAGGGCCCACTGGATGGGGGGAGGTCGGGGACCGCCTCGACGAGATGCATGATGCCAAAGTCGAGTCTCACACCACCGTCGCTCAGATGCTTGACGGCGCAATCACTGTCCAACAGCGCCGAGGGAACGACTTGGCCGACGTCCTAGCGAAGGACGCAAGCCAACCCTTCAGTGCTCCTCCTCAGTCTCGACAGGTTTGTTTACGGGGCCTTGAGCTGGCCCACAGGATGTCTATTTTCTCGGCCTCTATGGAGGCGGCGCTCTCAGACCCTATCCTAGGCGATCACGTCGACCGTGCTTGGATGGAGTCTGTGTATCCTGAGGCCATTCCGAGACCGCGGAGCCGGTTGGAAGGGAACGTTCTGTGGAGCGCAGTGAGGCCGCTGTCTCGGCTGCCCCTCCCCCGATCCCCTCTCCCGGTCCGCTCCCGTCCCCTTTGCCTCCTCCCCCTCGTCCTGTGGGTGGCGGGAGGGGGCTGCAGCGGGCGGGCGGGTGTGGGGAGCGGAGGAGGGCCCTCGCTCCCTGGGAGCCAGAAGATCGCCACCCTCCCTCGGTGGGGGCACGCCGCCGAGGCAGGGGGCTGCCCCCGCAGGGGGAAGACGATCGGCACCACCCTCCCTCGGTGGAGGCACGCCGCCGAGGCTCTTGGTGCTGCCGCCGGACGGCCTCGCTGGGTGCAGGGTGGGCGGAGTGGCCCTCCCTGCACGTGTGTGGCCGGCCCGAGGCCACGCGATCCTGGAAGCCCAGGTCGCGGGCCAGGCCGACAGGCTCCCGGGGGCCGCTGCGCTCTGCACAAAGGCCGCGGGGCGACCAGTCACAACTTGGAGAGCATTCGTACCAGCGGCGTGGGCACGCCCGCTGGCAGCGGGCCGAGCAGGGCAGCACGGCACCAGACAGGCCAAGGACGCAGATCGCTGCTGCCCAGAAGAAGTCCAGTGAGGCGCAGGGTTGGAAGAGAGCGTGGGGTCGGAGCTGTCTCGCGTCATATTGTTTGCTTGCGAGGACTCCTGGTCGCGAGCGACAGCTGGCTTGGATTTCGCGAGGCCGCCACCTGCTAAGAAGCACCTCCGTGTCCACCAGGTGTCCGTGCAGTCCGGTGATGGCATGCATGCACCGTCTTGCGCCGAAGTCGGGCCTAGAGGGTTTGCCTGCGGTGGCCCCGCCGTGCACCCCTGGTCATCCCCATGCTGAGCCAGGCCCAGAGCTGCATAACATTGCTGCTCCGTCGGCCCGGCCCCCGTCGTTGGGAGCCTTTCGAGGTTGGGGCCGAGACCAGACCTTCAGCGAGGGACTCTCCTGGGAGGAAGCTGTTTCCTTGGGTGTCTGGGTTGTAGATCGAGCCCGCGCGAGAGCCCCACGTGGCTCGGACGACCCCTTCCTGCCGGATGACGAGTCCCAGAATTGCTATGTTCCTCACCCTCTCCACCCTCCAGAGACCTCGGCTCCGTCAATGCGCGTGTTCAGTCAAGCCAAATCGATTTGTCAGGGCCCCAGAGTTGAGACGGCACAACAATGGATGTTCTGAGCATGGTTGGCACATCATTATCGAAGTATGCGTTGGTTTCCTCTCAATGTCCTTCTCTGCCCCCCTAATCATCAGAACCTCCGAACCGAGAGCTTCATGAAGCTCCGACGACCTCTTTGATCCTCCTAGAATGTGCTCCTTCTTTGCGCCTTCACCCAGACCTCTCGCGGAGCGCGTTCTGACGAGGATGTTGACGCAACTGCAGCCGTGGCGACTGAGGGCACTCTGGGAGGAACACGCACCAAAAACATCGAAATCGTTTTCCTCCTCCTCCTCCTCCTCCTCGATCCTCCACCTCGATTGTCCTCCTCGATCTTCCTCGCTCCTTCCTTCCTCCTATCTGTCTTGTCCCCATCGATCCTCCATCCCTGATCCTCCTCCTCGCGAAAGCACTGCGAAAGCGAACTACTGAAAGCCAAAATTCGATGAGAGGCATCCGACAGCCTCCGACAATTTCATCGATCCTCCTTCTCCTCCTCCTCCTCCTCCTCCTCCTCCTCCGCCCGCCCTCCCTCCCTCCCTCCCTCCCTCCCTCCCTCTCTCCCTCCCTCCTCCTCTGTCGCCCTCGGGGCTTGGGCCGCCATGCCGATCATCAAGGAGGACCCATTCCACAGGTATGACCCGGCGGCCGTCGACTTCGGTAGGATGAAGGGCGAGGTGACTTCGGCCATCCAGGAGCGGAGGAGGAGGAGGAGGAGGAGGAGGAGGAGGAGGAGGAGGAAATGAAGATACGGAGGAGAAGGAAGTGAAGATAGGGAGGAGAAGGCCTCTTAGGTGCTTTCTGGGCTTCCTGGGAGCCTGCTGGGGGCCTGTTGGGAGCCTCTCGGGGGCCTGTTAAGGCCTCTTGGAGGCCTATTTGGGCTTCTGGGGCAGTCTGATGAATGCTCTAGGCCCGTCTAGCGCCTTCGGAGGCCGTCATGGGGGCCTCTCTGGGCCGTCGTGGTGCCTTCTTGGATCGCTTGAGGGCCCCCTTGGGGGCATCTTGGGAGGCTCTTGGGCGATCTTGGGTCCTCTTAGGCGGGCTTGGGGCCCTCTTGTGAGAACCTCAAGTTCTGTTTAAATTTGTAGGACGATCAATGTGCTTCGCCTCCTCTTGGGCCGTCTGAGGTCGAAGGGAGCTCAGGTCGTCTTGCTTGTTTCTCTGGACCGTCTTTGTGCCCTCTTGGAACGCTTTAGGGCCGTCCTGGGGTCCTCTTGGGCCATCGTGGGGTCCTCTTGGGCCGACTTGGGGCCCCCTTTGGGTGCCTCATGAGCCGTCTTGGAGCAATATTGGAGGCCTCTTGGGCCGTCTTGGGCGGTCGGAAACCCAAGCAGGTGAGAACCTCAACATCCTTCAACAACTATAGGACAATCCACATGTTTCGCCTCCTCGGGAGGCTCTTGGGGCCTCTCGGAGCCTTCGGAGGCCGTCTTGGGAGCCTCTGGGCCGTCTTGGTGCCCTCTTGGGGCGCGTGAGGGCCGCCTTGGGACCCTTTTGGTGGGCTCTTGGGCGATCTTGGGGTCCTCGTGGGCCGACTCGAGGTCGTCGTAAGGGCCTCATGGGCTGCCTTGGAGCTCGACAGGAGGCCAAACAAGCGAGAACTTAAGCATCCATGTGTTTAAGAAACATGAGGACAGTCAATGTTTGTTGCACCCTCGGGCTCTCCTGGAGGCCCTCTTAGAGCCCTCCTGGGTGGGGGGCTTATTGGGCAGTCGTGAAGACGTCTTGGGAGCCGCTTGGACCGTCTTGGGCCATCTTGGGCCGTCTTGGTGTCATCCTGGCTCTCTTGGAAACCATCTCGGAGTCTATCTTGGCCGTCAGGTGGCCGAAAAGAACACAAGAAAGCAAATTCAGGCGGGGCGATCTCAGGACGCCCCGAGGGAGGGGGGGCTAGCAAACAGAACAATTGGCCTGGCGAAGGACCCAACCATATCCAGTTGTGAGCACCGTCGTTGTATGCACCGCATTCGGAGGAGCTCTTTATAGGGCCACGAAACGTTGGAGGGGGGGTGCAAAAATTTGTCTGGTGGGCGCATGCGAACACAGCCATTGGGGCCGTCGGTGGAGCTCGCTATGGGGCCACGAAACGTGTGAGGGGTGTGCCGAAATCGGTGCGGTGGGCGCATGCGAACGCAGTCACTGGCGCCTTCGGTGGAGCTCCCTATGGAGCCACGAAACGTGTAAGGGGTGTGCCGGAATGGGCGTGCGCGACGCATGCGGGCGGTGGCATTGGGGCTTTCGGTGAAGCTCCCGATGGGGCCACGAAACGTTTGAGGGGTATACCGAATTGGGTATGCGTGACGCATGCGGGCGGTGGCATTGGGGCCTTCGGTGGAGCTCCCGTACATGGACATTATATTCGAACCCTGTGGCCCAAGATGCCCCCCCGAACCCCCGAATTTAATATTGATGGCGTGGCGACGGGGGGGGCGTGAGTGGACAGAAATATTCGAACCCCAAAGCACCGCCTTTGCTGAGATCAACATTGATGTCGGGGGCGCGGGGGTGATTCAGAATCTCCCTCGAATGTGTGAGGGTTCGAATATATTGTCCATCTACTGTCCATGGCAAGGTTTGTGTAGTTCTGCACATTGCTCAAAGCGACCCTCATAAATCCAAGATCCCATGACTTGGGGGAGAAGGTGGAGGAGGAAGCGAAGGATGAGGAGGATAAGGATCAGGATGAGGAGGAAGAGGAGGATGGGGATGAGGATGAGGATGCGGAGGACCAGGAACAGTAGTGAGAGACAGGAGGAATGAGAAGGATGAGGATGGGAGGTGGTGGGGAGGAGGATCAAGCGGTGGAGCGTGGAGGATTTCTAAGCAGGTGCGGGAGGAGTGAATCAGAGGAGGCAGGGACGAAGAGGCGATGGGAGGGGAAGAGAGGGCATGGGGAGGAGGGGAGGGGAGGGGAAGGGAACGGGGAGGGGAGGGGATCGGAGGGGGCCGAAAGAGGGATGGAAGGAGACGGTCCTGTGAAGGGCTGCCTTGGGCCGTCCTGGAGGCCTCGGAGGCCCCATGGATTACCGGAGCTGCGGGAAGTTCGATTTTGCCTGCCCAGGGTTACATGTTGCTGTCGTCCCACCGTCCACAACAGACATCGGGTGCATTATCGAAAGCTGGAGACGGTCCTGTGGAGGGCTGCCTTGAGCCATCCTGAGGCCTCCGAGGCCCCATCGTTCCCCAGGCTGCGAACGGGTCGGTTTATTCCTACCCAGGGTGATATAGTCAGCGCATACACATGATTGCGATTTTTTCTCTGCACATGCTGTTCCTTCGTTCGCCGTCCTTGGGTCCTGGGTTACCACGCTCCCTTCATCGTCGCCATGGCAGATGGATAGGCGCTTGCTCGTGATATTGATGGGGGCGTTGTCTGGTAGGCTTTCAGGAAAGCAGCTGGCGAGGCAGCCAACAAGGCAGCCAACGAAGCAGCCTACGAGGCACCCAGCGAGGCGGCCAACGAGGCCTCCGACGAGGCAGCCCGCGGGGCAGCCAAAAAAACAGCCGTCGAGGCAACTGGCGAAGCAGCCAGCGAGGCGGCCAACGAGGTAGCCCACGAGGCACGAGGCAGCCAACGAGGTAGCCCACGAGGCAGCCAGCCAGGCAGCGAGGCGGTCGACAGGGCAGCCAGCAAGGCAACCAACGAGGCCACCGACACAGCACCCGGCAAGGCAACCAACGAGGCAGCCAACGAGACAACCAACGAGGCAGCCAACGAGACAGCCAACAAAGCAGCCAACGAGGCAGCCATCGAGGCAGCCAGCAAGGCAGCCAACAGGCAGCCGAGCAGGCAGGCCACCAGGAACCAGGCAGCCAACGATACAGCCACAGGGCAGCCGACGAAGCAGCAGCGAGGGGGGATCCCAAAATGGATCCCCCTTGCGCACCTGCGCGCGCATGTCGCGCAGATCTAGACCATTTTCACGGACAGAAGCCACCCGAACCTATGGCGCTACTAATGGAAAAAAGGGCATCCGAGATATAGGATGCCCTCGCTCACTGGACTGCATCCATTTTCAGGATGCCCCCGTTGGAAGGATGACCGCAGCGCTTTCTGGACCGAGCGCATTTGGCCCGTCGTTGTCTCCACAGCCGGAGAATGTCGCCGAAATCCTTCACTCATGTATCTGCCGACGAGCACGTCGCAATGCGCCGCTTGCATGACAGCGGCATGGGCGTCAAGAGGATCGCCGCGGCCTTGAGCCGCTCCACGGACACCGTCTCGAAGCATTTGTTCAAAAAGAACACGACCAAGAAGTCCAAGGGCCGCCCGAAGCATTCCATCCGCACCCCCAAAGGGTTTCTCGCTGCCCAGCGCGCTTACAAGAAGCTTCTGAAGTCCTCGGGCGGCACAAAGGAAGTGACGGCAGCCATGCTGAAGTCCGAGATGAAGTTGAAATGCGACATCAAGACAGTGCGCCGCGAGTTTGCTGAGAATGGCTACAAGTTCCGCCCGCTGTACGAGAAGCCTGACCTTTCTGATGGGGACAAGAAGGAGCGCCTGCAGTGGGCCCGCGAGCACAAGCACCGGAGCCCCAGCCAGTGGTCACAGTACGTCCACGCGTGCATGGACAACAAGGTGTTCCAGGTGCTGCCCAATGCGAAGTACAGGAAGGTGGCGGGAAAGCGCAAGGTTCGCGGGGTGTACAGGAAGCGCAAGCGGGACTTCTCCGTGGGCCACGTCAAGCCGAGCAACTCAGCGCCAGGCCAGTGGCCGACGGCGCGCTCTGATTTGGCTCGCCCCCAAGTTCTGAAGCAGAGTTCGGGCAAGGGCTCCGTGACCATCGCGTGCGCCATCGGCGCGGGCAAGGTGTTGATGTGGCACCGGGTGGTCGGCAGGTGGAACGCCGCAGCCGCGGGGCGAATGTACTCGGGGGCGCTCCAGCCCGCTTTGAAGAGGGCCTACCCTTCCGTGCGCGGCAAGTTCCGCGTCATGGAAGATCACGACCCCACGGGCTACAAATCTCGCTCGGGCATGGCGGCGAAGAAGTCCGCTGGCATCCAGACGTTGGACTTGCCGAAGCGGTCCCCTGATCTGATGCCGCTTGATTTCGCCTTCTGGGCCAATCTGAACAAGCGCATGAGGGGGCAGGAGAAGGACTGGCCCGCGAGCAAGACGGAGACGCGGGCGCAGTACCTGGCCCGGCTGCGCCGCACGGCGTTGGCGACGCCTTCTGAGTACATCCACAGCATCATGGGCAGCCTGCACAAGCGCTGCGGCTTGTTGGTCGAGGCGAAGGGCGGCCACTTCGCCGAGGGCGGTGGGAACTGAGCGCGCGCGCGCGGTTTCGTCGGGCGGCCGCGGCGCGATTCGCGGCGGGCCAGGGCGGCGGGCGACCGCGGCGCAGACCGCAGCGGGCCGGGGCGGCGGGCGGCCCGTAGCGGCCCGCGCCCCGGTTGACCCGCGCGAGCGACGTGGGGCGCGGGAAGAGGGCCAGTCGCGGTCCACGAGCAAGACCAATCCGTGCGTCCACCGCCCTTGCGGCTACAGGGCCAGCAGACGTAGTCGAAAGTACCTGATCTTGGCATTATGATTCTGTCCGCCGAGGCCCCCCAGGCGCCAGCGCCCTGGCGGCCCCAGAGAGCCCCTCGCACGAGACATGCACCAAAAAAACATAGTGAACCAACAGTGAACCAACAGTGAACCAACAGTGAACCCAACAGTGAACCTTCGTAAAAACCATAGTGAACCTCG